GAGCAAAAGTAATCGCTAAGCCCGACCGTACGCGTATTGTGCAGCAAGCCCTGTGGGCCATCTTATCCTCATAAACTTACAAGGTAGGCTGCTACTCTCTTCACTGTACAGAAAGGAAGGTGAGACACAGAGACATCGAGTAATATGAGCCGATCACACAGCTGGTGCGTCTGGAGGCAGAGCTGGGACCCAGGCCGCCGGCTCAGCAGGCACCCTCTTCAGGGCTGCTGCCTGTTGTTGCCATAGCAACAATGCCGCTCACCCTAGAGGCTGTAGCTCCAAAGTGTGCCCCAGCCTCACCACTGGTTATTGACATGTGGTCAGCAAAAGTGAACAGCATAGAGAGAAATGGGTAGGGACGATGCCTGGCGGGTCACGGCCATGGAAACCCCCGGGGGAGGGGTGTGGGGGAAGGAAGCACTAGCTGAGGCAGGCAGACGGTGTGGAAGGCCAGGGGGTGATCTGGGAAGCCTGTGGTGAGGAGGCAAGAGGGAGTGGCAAGCATCTACTGAACACCTGCTAGGTACCAGGCAGCGCAGTCCTGGTGCATTTCATCCTCACAACTGGAGCCAGCTGGGACTCCGCCCAATTCACAGATCTAAAGAAAGTGAGGACCAAGGCAGGTCACTTGCCCAAGGAAGATCACCTAGTGGTGGAACCAAGAAGCAAATCAAGGTCTACCTGACTCCCAGGCTCAGAAGAGGGAGCATATCCCAGAGGGAGGCCTCAAGAAGCGAGCTTGGGCTGGAACAATGCAGTGGCTTCTGCTCGTACCCAACCCACCCAGGGTAAGGGGTGTCTCCTCCAACATCCGCAGTGTTGGCCAGGCTGGTCTCAAACTTCTGGCCTCTAGTGATCTGTCCACCTCGGCCTCCCAAAGTGCTGGGATCATAGGCGTGAGACACCGCACCCGGCCTAAAATTTTTCACTAAGTCCATCACGACAGTCCCAGGAGGTAAGTACCACTATCATCTTCGTTTTATGTGGCAACTGAGAACAGCTCAAGTAACTTGCTCAAGTCACACCGCTAGCCTAAATTCTATCTGGTCCCACCTGGGAGTGAGCAGGGAGAACCGGGTGATAGAAGGAACGTCCATAATGTAACTCTGCCTGATTCCCTCACACTGGCCAACAGGGCTCTGGGACTCCGACTTACAAGTGTCAGCCCATTCTAAATGGTGCTCCTGTCATCTCTCGCTTAGAAAAAAAGTGTTAATATAATTATAGAACCAATACTTGCTCATTATAGAAATTAACTCAGGCAAGAGTCTATTTAAGAAGACAAAAGCTACCCATAATGCTGCTTCTCAGAGATAACCACCTCCCCTGGCATTTTTGGGTATTTGTTTCCATGTATGTATATTTTAAGCACATATGTACCATTTCCTCCTTTCTTTTTATTGAAATGAAGTCTCGCTCTGTTGCTCAGGCTGGAGTGCAATAGCACGATCTTGGCTTGCTGCAACCTCCGCCTCCTGGGTTCAAGTGATTCACCTGTCTCGGCCTCCCAAGTACCTGGGATATAGGCGTGCGCCACCATACCGTCTAATTTTTTTGTATTTTTGTAGAGACAAGTTTTCACCATGTTGGCCAAACTGGTCTCAAACTCCTGATCCAAGTGATCTACCCGCCTTGGCCTCCCAAAGTGCTGGGATTATAGGCATGAGCCACTGACCCCAGCCTTATATACTCTTTTCAAAAATGGGATTGTACTGTACATATAGTTTTATTCTCTGCCTTTTAAAAAGGTAAATATTTTCTCATTTGTAGACGACACTAATCATTCTGCTTCAGAGCCCTTATCACTGCCCAGCAAGTTGTATATTTTACCTGTCTGCTTACTGTCTGTCACCCCTGAATGGAAGTCCCATGGTAATCTGTTGCGTCCACTGTTCTCCCAGTGCCAGAAACCTTGAATGGTATATTGGTTCTCTACTAGGACAAGTCCTAACATGTACGACAAATTATATTGTTTGCTGAGAATGATGGCAAGGAAAACCTAGCCGCTCCGCCCCAAGTGGAAAACTGCTTGGGGCATTCTAAAGCAGCAAAACAGTATATCACACACCAGTTAAAACAATTCTTTAAGCAGGGATATGTGACCCAGCCCCCGTGGATCCCTCGTGGAGAATACTTTCTAGTCTGTCCTTGATCAGTGGTAAGCAGGCACCAGCTGCCTAGCTAGTTTATCTTGGGTCTATGAGAAAACACAGAACACCTGTTTGTTAATAAGAATCACCTGTTGAGAGAGAATAACTATGTGGGTCAGAATCTGCCCAAGGCCCTCAGCCGGAATGCTGTAATCCCCTGGGGCTCTCAGTTTGGTAAGGCTGCTGGGCCTCGGATAATCCCACTGTGCTGTTCTTTCTGGGTGTCTGCTTTTTTTTTTTTTTTTTTTTGAGACAGTCTTTCTCCATCGCCAGGTGCCAGGCTGAAGTGCAGTGGCACGATCTCTCCCGGGTTCAAGCAATTCTCCTGCCTCAGCCTCCCGAGTAGCTGGGACTACAGGCGCACACCACCACACCCAGCTAATTTTTGTATTTTTAGTAGCGATGGGGTTTCACCATGTTGGCCAGGATGGTCTCGATCTCTTGACCTTGTGATCCGCCCTCCTCAGCCTCCCAAAGTGCTGGGATTACAGAGTCACCGCACCCGGCAGGGTGTCTGCTTCTTAATGCCTTCAGCCCCAGCTGGGTGGGGGTCTCTAGGCTGAGCTGGTCTTGGTAGTTCTCCATAGATTTTTGTGGAATAAATGAATGAATGAACAAGTACAATTTTCTATCCTTTTTCTGAGGGCCTTCTGTGGCTCAGGCGTTGTGCTGGGCCACGTTCTTGCTCCCCACACCCTTGCAACAAACCCCATTGTCAGAGGTGGCCGGAGTGCAGCCGCCAAGTCCTCGCTGAGGCCTCAGCATCCCACTCCTGGACTGGAGGGAGTCAGTTTCATCTCAGTGTGAGCCTTTTGCTCCTTTTTCTGCTTACGTAACAGCTTTGTTTGGCTTGTGAAATTACACCACGCCAGACGTACTTCCAGACGTCTCAGGCTCTTGTCCCTGCCAAGTGGATCCAAGCAGCTTGCTGCTTTCCCAGTCAGTCCTGATCTTCATCGCTCTGGAAGGTGTCTTCTGTTCTTCGCGGAGACTTAGATGAGTTGTGTTGAGCCCACCTTGCTCCTGAGAACCGTGGAAAGCCGCAGACAACAGCTGCCCACCTGGCCCCACTCAGACGCCAGTTGAGTTTTGCTTGACTGCATCAGACACGCTCCACCAGGGCTCCGTGCTGGTATTTGCACCGGTGACTTCTGTGAACCTACAGCCTCACTGTTCAGCCTGGCTGTGGTCAGAATGTGAATAATTGCACTTTTATTCAGTTTATCACTACTTTTGTAATTATGAAAAATGTAGCTTTAAATAATCTTTCATAACATGGGAAAATACTCATGACATAAATATTAAAAAGGTTAAGAAAGACTCATGGTGTGAAAATATAACCACTGAGAGGAAAATGGAAGCCACATGCCTGGTGCGTTAACTGTGGTTAGCTCTGGTTTTAACTCAGGCTTTTAGATTAGGGGAGTGGAAGTTCTAGTTTGCGCAGGCAAATCCCAGTTTTTTCTTTTTTTGTTGTTGTTTTTGAGATGGAGTTTCCATCTTGTCACCCAGGCTGCAGTGCAATGGCATGATCTCAGCTCACAGCAACCTCCTCCTCCCAGGTTCAAGCGATTCTCCTGCCTCCGCCTCCCGAGTAGCTGGGATTGCAGGTGTGCACCGCCACGCCTGGTTAATTTCATATGTTTAGTAGAGATGGGGTTTCTCCATGTTGGTCGGGCTGGTATCGAACTCCTGACCTCAGGTGATCCACCTGCCTCGGCCTCCTGAACTGCTGGGATTACAGGTGTGAGCCAACGTGCCAGGTCAAATGCCAGTTTTACACTTGTGACCAGCTGGCCAAATGGTGTCCTTTCCTGCTTAAAAGTATTCTGCTAAAATTACACACCTAATCTCAGTATAAGGAGTTCTAATTTTCTCCTTCGTGTTTTTCTAGACTTGTAAATTCTAGTGAACTCAATGTGTTTCCTTAATTCCAATTTGTACCTTTTTCTTTCACATTTTAATGTTGTTGAGATTGGAATGTACCATACAACAGATTGGCACTTTTCCCCCACCAACCTAGCAAGTTATAAAAATCAGTGGTTGGTGGGAACTTAGAATTGAGGAAACGTAGCACATTAATTTACAAATGGGAAAAATATAGAAAATACATCAAATTCTCTTTTTTTTTCCCCTGGAAAGTCAAGATTCTAAGACCTGGAGAACTGGATAAAATCAGACAGATGAAATCCCTCTATACAGCTGGCTCTTACTAGGATTAGGAGCTAATGTTTCCCGCAGGTTCTCTGATGAAGTCAAGAACAAAATAAAAGGACGTGATTGCCAAGAAATCTTCTCCAGGACCAGCAGAAGTGGGATCTACGGCCCTTCCTGAGACATAAGCTTTTTTATAATGAGCTGAAATTATTATGAAAGTAAGAATATTGATCATTACTTTCATAAATGGCTGATACTCATTAGGCACTTATGTGCCAGGCATAGGGCTGTCAAATTATTAGACAACCCTGTTATTTCCCTCTCTCTACAGATGAGGAAACTGAGGGACAGAGAGGCACCTGCTCTAGGCCATAGAGCTGTCTGCACAGAGTTGGGATTCAGTCCTTTTTATCTGGCTCCAAAGTCTGCTTTTTAACCACTGACACTGCTTCCTGCTGCTTCTATGTTTTTTTCTCTGTGTTGGGCCTCTGGCCTCTGTTTTCAGCAAAGCTCTAACTGTAAAGGTTTCCCAGGCCAGCACAGTGGCTCATGCCTATAATCCCTGCACTTTGGGAAGCCGAGGTGGGCAGATCTCTTGAGCTCAGGAGTTCGAAACCAGCCTGGGCAACACAGCAAACCCCCTCTCTACAAAAAGTTGCAAAGTTGGGTGGGTGCAGTGGCCCACACCTGTGGTCCAGCTACTCGGAAGGTGGCTGGGAGGTTGGGGCTGCAGTGAGCCATGATCATGCCACTGCACTCTACCCTGGGTGACAGAGTGAGACTCTTATAAAACAAACAAACAAGAAAAAACCTTTCCCCAAGGGCTCAGTGGTCTGGGAGAGAGGGCAAGAAGCTAAAACAAGATCTCTGCAACCAGATATTCTGATTCCTTTGGCCTTGGTAATGGGGTATAAAAGAACACCCAGTACTGCATTAATGTACTGTGGCTGTGTTTTCCAAAAACGGCCACAGCGATACTTCTAGTCTCATATGCTCTTGCAGAACCTTGCCACCCACTACCAAGAAGTAGAGTCTGTTTCCTCTCCCGCTGAAGCTGAGCAGGGCTTGGTGGCCGCCTGTAATGTGATGGAAGTGACACGGCGTGACCTGCAAGGGCGAGGTCGCAGCCTACGATAGCAGTTCTTCCTGGTCCACACTCTCAGGCTGCTCATCCTAGGAACCCTGGTACCATGTTATGAGAGGCTTAGACCACTGGAGAGGCCGTGTGTAGCTGTCATGGCCCATCAGGCCCCCAGCCAGCATCAACTGCAACATGAGACCGTGAGCCTTCAGATGACTGGCTCCTGCTTTCCAGTCTTCCCAGCCGAGGCCTCAGGCTTCGAGGAGCAGAGACAAGCCTTCACTGTGCCCTGCCTGAATTCCTGACCTGCAGAAGTGGTGAGAATAAGTGGTTGTTTAACGCCACTAAATTTCTGAGTGATCTGTTACGGAAAAAGCACTTAAACAGAAAAAGGTCCTATCTGGCCTCTATTGAAAGTAACATATGCATTGTTCTGGGTTTCATGTTTTGATTCTTTGCACAGGGAAGTTGAAGTCTATCCAGAGGACAGTGACAAGCCCAGGTGTGAGAGAGACACCATCTGTGACCTGCACCTGGGGGTCTGGCTTCAAAATGTGTCCTCAGCGGATACTCTTGGGATGGCTCAGCTAAATGGCAGCTGTCACCTCTGAGAGGCTTGTTACTGAATATTATATGACGAAACCGCCCTGGTGGCCAAACTTTGAGAATGGCTTGATAAACACCCACCTCCATTCTACATCACTGGCGTTCTGTTCCTTCTGAATCCTCTGCAGACTAGAGGCTCTAACGGAGCTAAGTGCTGGGCCTGGAGGTTCCATGCTCTGCTTCAGGTCCATGAAGAACGCCAGTGACAGAGGCGCTTGTGAGGGCTCTTGGTTTTGGTTTTTCAGTAGCCACAGAAACCAGGAAGGAGCAGAAGGAAGACACGGAACTGCCTCCACCCTCCTCTCATCCCCTACCCCGAGCAGCTTGTAAGAATCATTTACTCATGTTTCCTGTAAGACTCCATTTGAACAGAGAGTTCTACCAGCAAATACGTCTACATATTGATTTTTCTTAAAATGAAATGCGGCCGCTCTTCAGTGCCACAGCAGAGGTAGGTCCTTTTGAGTTTGGAATGCTCATAACACCCACCGTGTGCTTTGTGACAATGCAATTATCTGATCACTTTTCTCTACCCAAGCTACTATCCTGCTGGCCTCAGAAGGATGAGAGGCAGGTGGACAGCGCTGTCACTGCAGTTACCCCAGCTGAAGCCAGCAGCCAACCCCCAGCCACAGAAGGAAGCCTGATCTATAACGAGCAGAGCCAATCCCCAGCTGACCTCAGTCATGTGAGTAATGCACTCTTACTGCTGTGTGCGCTGAGGCTTTGTGCCGACAGTTATGATGGCTCAACTTATGATTTTTCAACATTACCATGGTGTGGAGTGATATACATTCAGTACAACATCAATATATGACTTGGTTATTCAATACTTTATTACCAAATAGGCTTTGTATTAAATGATTTTGCCCAACTGTAGGCTAATGTAAATGTTTTGGGCATGTTTAAGGTGGGTGAGGCTAAGCTATAATGTTTGGTAGATTCTGGGTATTAAATGCATTTTTCACCTAACAGTACTTTTAACTTGCAATTTTCTCAGGAGTAACCCCACCATAAGTATCTGTATTTGTTAGGCAGCAAAAGCTAACTGATAGATTTGTTTTCAGAATTTTCCTGGTTTCCCTGTCAGGCAACCCCAGCTTTCAAAAAAGAAAGGAGAATGAAGTTATTTATTCAAGGATTATTTATTGAGGGCTAAACACATGTCCAGCTCTGTGCTTGGCATGAGGGATAAGAGACTGGTTGCCATTTTGCCAAAGAGAATCCTAAGGAACCTTGACACAGAAGAAATAGTTCTGCTGCTGAGCTCTTTGGCCACTATCCTGGGGAAATAAGTATTTGGAGAAGCTGTGGGGCCGGTCCCCGCAGGAGGCCTGGCACCCAGCCCTGGGTACGTGCCAGAAGTGAGTGCCTGTTGAGCTTCACAGTGTGGGTGTAGGCTGCCTTGATTAAAACCCCTGGCAGCACAATGCCAAGTAAGTGCCAGCCTGGGGAAGAAGAAATTAGTCTGGGATAAAAAAATGACAAAGCAAGAATACAAAAGCCATTAAGGGATTTGTAAGCATGTGTCATGGTTGAAGAATCGCTATTGTTAAGAACGTGTGATCATTTCGTGGTGCCCCGTGGGGCCTGGGGAAGGAAGTCTGAATGTTCGCCAAAGGCTGGCCGTCCATCAGAGGAAGGAAGGCCGAACAGGCACGATAAAGCACAGCTAGCAACCCCCACAGGTCAGATGGTCACTCAACACAGCCAGAAGGGGCCAGTTCACTCTGCTGGGTCTCAGTTTCCTCATCTTTAGCATAGGGGAAAATAATCAAACATACCACAAAGAGATAATACAAGGATTAAATGAACCAACTCAGGCAAAATATTTAGAACAGTCTGGTACGGCTCCAGTAAATGCTCAACAAATGTTGGTTTTCCTTTTTTTTTTTTT